TCCTGTGACTCAAGGGTACTCGTGGCAATGTAGCTGAGTGGTTAGCGTGTCAAGCTAACGTCCTGCACTGTCTCGGTTCGAATCCCGCTGAGGGTGTTGATAAGACCAATGCGAGGTCGAAACTGCAGGTACCTACCGTACTGCACTTTCGCGGTTCGAATCCCGCTGAGGGTGTTGATAAGACCAATGCGAGGTCGAAACTGCAGTCCACTCCAGACTGGATGAGAACAACTTTTGGGAAAGCAAGGCTATGTGAAACCAATGGAAAAGTCAGCTAAACTCATAGCATTGTGGGAAAATTCTACTACCAGTTCTTCATCACCTTACACGAAATAGGGTGAATACAGCTCATTACACTGATTTACTGGTAGTCTCGAAACCCTACTCATTTACGAATACAAGAAGAGTGTGTTTCTCTCGAAACGAAGGTCAGCGTTGCCCTGAGAGAGGTCAGTATGAAGAGGACTAAGCGGCCAAATCGAAGTAAATTGGCCCGACAAAGCGACTCGAAAATCACCCCAACTGGCCAACTGAAACTAACTCGACTCACCGACCGTCCGAGGTTGGTTACTACTTACTTTAGACTTGGATACGTCTCAAAGTTTCCTCGCATCGTCTGCTCCAGCGCGTAGGTCCAATTGATGGCGTGAATGGTGGTGGACAGATTGCGAGGCACCTCGTCGGGCACCTTGAAAGTTGAGTGGTTTATGGTGACGCGTTGTTTGAAGTAGGGATTGAACTGCAGCATCGAGGAGAGAAGAGGGTTAGGACGGTCGGAATCGAGGGAATCTTGAATACTGGGGTCGCTCAGCTTCTGGTCCAAATCACTGAACGCGATCATCTCGTCGTAGTGACGCACGGCAGCTTGTACAATGCTGTAGGCCGCCTTCTTGCGATCCGCGATGTACTCGCCCAGCCGGTTACTAACCAACTGTACCAGACGATGGCCATGCTTCTTCTCCGCCTTGTACGCGGCCCGGTCGAAGAGTCTTTGTGTGACGTCTCGTCGGATGCCATCCTGCGCCAGTTGTTGGATGTAATTCTGGATCAGGTCGGCCCAGTTGTACACATCGCCGTGCAGGTTACCACTACAGCCAAACGGGGTTCCCTCCTGGCCGGGCTCCTTGTTCGCCGCCGTCGTCGTCTCAGTCGCCGTCGTTGCTGTCGTCGAGGCCGACGCCTTTGCTCGAGGCCCTGTCGTCGGTCTCCAGTCGCTGGTGCCGCGTGTCGAGTTGGCGTTCAGCTCGAACAGACCCAGACTGTTCGGTTTCAACACAGATTTGTCGGCAGACATTGCCGTCTCGTCGTGAATGCTCGCCAGACTCTCGAGCATCGGTGGTACAGTTAGGCCAGTTGACAACTTCGCCTCTTCCCTCGTCTCGACAACGTCGAGCAACTCGTCGGCCGACCAGTCGGCCGCGGTGTCCATGGGCTCCACATCTAGAGCGCCGGCGGCGGGTAGGAAGATGTGCAGAATCAGAGAGAACAAGTAGTCCGGATTGAGGTAGGGCAGAGCAAAGACAAGCAGAAGAGAGTAGGTCGAAATGAAGGACATCGTTTCGGCGTGTTTAGCTTCTGCATCCAGCCTCAAAACGAGACTTGGCCTGACGAAGAGATGGACACAACCCGCTTCATATTCGCGATCAGCACCGATCCGCCTGCCTGGGCCGTATTCGCATGACCCCGGCCGGACGGATACAGAATTGGCGCCCAGCGAGAATATGGGCAGTCGAATTGAAAAGGTTGGAGACGGCGTTTAGCAGGTTTCTTGGGCTCTTTGAGGAGGTTGGGTAGAGTTGAAAGGGTTTGACGAAGTGTGAAGGAAGTTGGAGGAGGTTGGAGGCAGCTTTACGTAGTTGTGGACGGTTTTTCAGACGGCTTGAGGCGACCTGATGAGATTTG